CAATTTTGGCAATACCTATTCCAGGAACTCAGGCAACCTTCCCACCAAGTTAACTTGCAGGCACTTCCTCTTTTTTTAGATTTTATTTATTTATTATGTATATAACGTTCTGTTTCCATGTATATCTGGGAGGCACTAGACCCTTTAAGGCAGAGTTCAAAGAGTCCTTGCAGAGCCTGGCAACCAATTTTGGCAATACCTATTCCAGGAACTCAGGCAACCTTCCCACCAAGCTAACCTGCAGGCACTTCCTCTTTGCCCACAACTGTGGCCTTGCTCACGCTGAGGCGGATCTTTTCTGTGCATGGAGTGAGAGATTTAAGGTGCCGAGTCAGTGCACCTGACTCCCTGAAGCTCTTTCCACACTTGGCACATCTATAAGGGCGCTCATCTGTAAAAGAACAATCACCCCCCAGTGGGAGATGGGCAATGTCCTGTGTTGAGGGGACACCAGGCATGGAACCTCTGTCTTTTCATCCAGAAGGACACAGGCCAGCTGTAGAGCCAGTCAGCAGTCTATTAGTGTAGCTCTAACCCCATTTCACTTACCAGTGTGTCGCCTGTGGTGACGGATGAGTGAGCCCTTGGTCCGAAAGGAGGCACCACAGAGCTTGCACTCATGGTCCTTGCGGCTGCTGTGTGTTACCATGTGGGCCTTAAGGATGCTGCCCTGTGGGGGAGGGGCAGTAAGGCTCAAGGCACCTCACTGGACAGGAGTAGGCAGGGGAGCCAATGGGCCCTTGGCCCCAGGGGCTCACCGTTTTGAAGGTCTTGTGACATAGCATGCACACGTAGCGGCCTTCCTTGTTCACCAGCAGCTTGATTTGGGCCTGCTCGCCAACCGGTGCCCCTAGGATGTAGGTGACATAGCATGCACACGTAGCGGCCTTCCTTGTTCACCAGCAGCTTGACTTGGGCCTGCTCGCCCTCCCCAATAAGCCCAAGTTCCTGATGGTTAGGACTGCCTGGAGCCTCTGCCATCTCGCCATCCCCTGGTTCTGCCTCAGCAGCCACAATGACCTCTTTGATGTGCCCACTTCCTGGGGAGAGGCAAGTTAATGTAAGCCTCAAGACCTATCACTACTACAGGCTCTGCCCATAAGGATCCCTTCACAGGAGTCCACTCGAAACCACAGAACTATCTAGGCCACCCACCACCCAGTCCTTGAACCTAGAACCTGGATCCAATCTGCACTGAGAGAAATCTATGCAACAGCCATTAGAGGCAGTCTGACATGTGGATAGACCACCTTTAACTTAGTAGAGCTGCCTGACGTTCAGAGCCCCCAGACTGTGGCCAATATGGACACTCCCTGAGGAGATATCCCATCCCCCAAACCAAGAGACCTGGGGATCTTACAACAGGATGCCCAGGTAAATAGGCAGTGGATATCCTAGTTCAGTTCCCTACATATTTTCTGCTGAATGACTCAAGTCCCACCAATTTAAAGGAAAGATAGTTCTGGGTGCTGCCCAAGGGCTTGGGCTGCCAGTGTGTAGGCAGGCAGGCTAACCAGGTCCTTGCCCAGAACTAACTGGAGAAACTAGACACCTGAGATGGCTAGAGGAAAGGAAGTCAGGTTTTTGCACTTATCACAGGATGCTGAGGAATCTGACAATGTGCAAAGTCATATTATAAATATACTTCACATTTTCTACTCATAAAAGTGATGAGTGGGAAGTAGCTGTGAAACTACTTCTTAGAAACCATCTCCATCCAGCTGGTCTTGTTTTGACAAGCCATTCTCTCAAAACAGAATGAATGAGCACCATGACTCAGAAACAATTAAGGGCATTTCTCACTGGTGCTCCCGGCCCAGTGCCCCAAAAGTACCATCCCAAAGGACAGAGACCTGATGGGTGACAAATACAGGGACACCAAGAGGGAACTCATCTGTTAGTCCAGATGCAAAGAACCTAGAGATGATACAGCCACTCCAAGCAACCCCTATGACCAGCCCATCTCCCTCACTGCCTTTTCTTTACCCAGGCCATCAGAAATTCTGGGGGCTCCTGGCTCCCCTTCCCTTGGGATGACTATAAAGGGCATGGGAGAAGCAGAGGGTCACTGAAGTAAGGACTGCTGTGCTAAGCAAAAGCTTGAAACTACTGGAGGCTGAAATGGATGGAAAAGGACCCAGCTGGCAGAGCTTGGTTATACACCAGAACCCAATGAACTTGTTTTTCCAAATAACACCTCCTACCACAGAAACTAAATTCTGTGCTAGGGCAGAAGCAGGGCCCCACCCCCACATGGCAACATTCCTAAGTCTGACTGGCAAGGGGTGAGTCTTCCTGTGGCAGGAACATTGAGAAAGGCAGTAGAAACCTGGACAGGTGTCCAGGTGCCTCCTTGGGAAGGGTAATGTGCTCATAGGCTCCCTTCCCTAACCAAGGTGGCTTTAGTAAACAGATCCTCCCTCTTCCTGCCCCAACTGATTCTCATAGCTTCTCAATGTCAAGTTCTATCCATTGTCCCAATCACTTCCTGTCCACCTGCCCATTCACCCATCTGTCTTGGTCCCTGCAGGGCGATGATCATTCCCTTCCCAACATCCAACCACATTGTACTCAACCCCATTACCCTTCAATGGCTTTTGAACATTCAACCGCTTATCCCTTCTCTGAACTTAGTCCCTGGCACCCTTCACCTGTTTAAGCCAGAATGCCCTTTGAATGATCCCTGCATACTCAGCAGCCTCCAATTAATAAGCACTTAACCCAACCCAGGCCTCTCAGTAGCCCCTCTTCCCACTGCACATCAATGAGTACTTAAATTGAAAGCATTAGCCATCAAAGAGGTTTGGCGTTATATGCTCATAAAAGCCCATCAAGAATCAGGGCAGCAATCCACACCAGTGTAAACAAGCAAAGGGATGAAAACCAAGACCAAGCAGCAAGTCAGGGACAGCTGAAGCAACACCCTGTCCACCCCAATGACCCTACGAAGGCAACTGCTGGGGCAAGGGACGGTGATGGGGTACACTGCCGGGTGCTGCCTAGGGGCAGAAGGACGAACTGGGGTGGCAAAAAAGGGGAGAAGATGCTAAGGAGGACAGGGACAGAAACATCCTGCAAAAGCACATAAGAGGGACAAGTTCATGGTGGTGCATAGACTGAAGATTCCCAAATACTCCAGGGCAGTAAGGAATGTCTTGGCTTCCCTTCCTGAAAGAGCCTAGTGTCTACTGACCGTCCTCCTGAAGGGCCTGCCCAGGGGAGGCTCACACAAGGCTTAGACCCCTCTGTGGACAGGCCTTGCTCCTGGGAGAGTGAAGGATGTACACAATGAAGACCCTCCAGCCCTGACTATAATCAGCCATCAAGCCAATGCCTCAGAGCTGAGGGTGACCCATGGACAACTGGCTTACCAACAAGGTCAGGAGCATGGCTGATGTCTGCTGCCAGAGAGGTGGCTTCCACCACGATGTGGGCCACAGTGATGGGCTCTTCTGGACCTCCCTCTGCTGCAGTTGGCACTACCTATCAATGGGGTCAAAAGACAAATGAGATAGATGCATCTGTGGATTCTGGAATTTACAGAGAAGAACTACCCTCTATGGAAGAAGGGGACTTGGGAAACACAGGCTTGGTCCATGTCCTACAGAAAGGCTGTGGGGGGTGGGGTGGAGTGGAGGGAGCTCTTTTTCCCTCCAAGGAACATGGCTCTAACCCTAATTCACAGCCTGGCCCCAGAGTCAGGGTCAGCCCCATCAGTCTAATACCTCTGACCACCATGGCCTGGACACAGATCAGAGAACATATACAGCAAGGGACTCATAACAGGCATGAAGCTGGGCTAGCTGCAGGAGTGAAAGGACCCCAAGGCTGTGCAACAGACTTTCCTGAAGGACACTCCGTGAGGGGGCAAGTAGTAAGTACAAAGCTGGAAAGTTAATCCCTTTCTGATGTCACCTGAAACACTCAATGCTGCGACCCTTTAATACTGTTCCTCCTGCTGTGCTGACCCCCAACATAAAATTATTTTCCTTGCTACTTCATAACTGTAATTTTGCTATTGTTATGAATCATAATGTAAATATCTGAGTTTTCTGATGGTCTTAGGTGACTCCTGTGAAAAAGATGTTGAATGACCCAAAGGGGTCACCACCCACAGGTTGAGAACCACTGTCCTAGAGGTTTCTCCTCTCTTGGAGCAAAGGCACTACTAGAGACTGAGCGTTTGTGCGGGTAAGTAAACATTTCACTATTGAACTATATTCCTAGGCCTCTTTTCATTAATAAAGATATAAAAGGTGCATTTATTTCTTTTTATGTATGAGTGTTTTGCTCGTATGTATGTATGTATGTATGTATGTATGTATGTATGTATGTATACCACATGTATGCCAAGCACCAACAGAAGCCAGGAAAAGGACATCAGAATACCCAGAACTGGTTGTGAGCTACCAACAAGTGCTAGGAACTTAACCTGAGTCCTCTGCAAGAGCAACAAGTGCTCTTAACCACTGAGCCATCTCTCCAGCCTCCTTTAAAAAGTTATTTTGAGTCTAAGTTGTCTAAGGTAGCCTCAAACTTATATTGTAACCCAAGCTGGCCTTGAACTTGAAATCCTTCTGCCTTAGCCTCCTCTGTAGCTGGGATTACAGGCCTATATTACCAAGCCTGGCCATTCCCTCTTCTCAATTCTACCCACTAAGACTCCTGGGAATGCTATATGTGACAGAATTTAGTTAAGACGATGTGAGTACATCCCCAAGCACACCACTGGGATTCAATTAAGTGGGCTATTGCATATGGGTCCCAGGACCCAGTAGGCCCTACTTTAAGAGAGCCCTAAGAACCATGTGTACAGGATAGCAAAGAAGGAAAAAGACAAAAATTGCCATGATCTAAGCTAAGATACCCCTCACAAACAAAAAGAACCCAAACCCCCAAACTATGTAGGCTGCTGAGGTTGAGCTGCCCCAGGCTATCCAAAGCACAACTCTGCTCTGGTGGGTAAAGGCTTAGTCTGCCTTTACCCACAGCCATCTCTGCCTTCTAACTGGCCACATGTCATAAACCAGCTGTTCAGGCTGCTCGAGACAGTTTCCGCTTCCTTCTGGGAGATAAGCCAAACTACAGGAGTATGGGTGGTAGCAGCTGGTAGGGGCTCACCTCCTGGCCCAGCAGTGCAGTGGCAGCAGGGGTGGTGGGCAGGGCCTCTTGAGGGGCCCGATGGCAGGTCTTCTGAATCTTGTGCTGGACAAAGTCCTCCAAGGCAGTGAATTCCACCTGGCAGCGGCCACATCTGTGCACATCATCCTCATCTGCAATAAGCCTCATGTCAAGGGGACTGAAGGCAGTCAGGGCCTCATCCAGCTTCCCTTCCAGGCTGAGACAAGAGATTCCCAAGGATGACTGTTCACCCAGGAGCTGCTGAGGACATACTGGAGTACATCCTAAGGTCTAACCTCATTTATTTATTTATTTGTTTGTTTGTTTATTTATTTTGGTCTTTCGGGACAGGGTTTCTCTGTGGCTTTGGAGGCTGTCCTGGAACTAGCTCTTGTAGACCAGGCTGGTCTCAAACTCACAGAGATCCTCCTGCCTCTGCCTCACAAGTGCTGGGATTAAAGGCGTGCACCACCTCCGCCCGGCAACCTCATCTTTTAGAGGTCTACAGAAGCAAGGTCTACTAACGAGAACAGCATTCTGCATAGGGTTACTCTGACCACGAATTTATTTTGCAAGGGCAAACTGAAGCTGTCATATCCAAAGTCCCTACATGCCAGAGGTGGGAAGAGAGGCTGGGAGACATAGGAACTCTCCTAAGCAAGTTTGGGGACAGCAAATGACTCAGATTGAAGATTACTGGGAAGCTGGGGATGTAGCTCAGTGGTAGAACACTTGCCTACCATCCATTATACCACTGAGTTTAGATCCCCAGAGTCTGAAAAAAATTTTTAAGCCTGCTGGTGATTTAATGTGTAGGCATCTCAACTGCCATCTCAAAGTTATTTTCACATCTTGAGAAAGATAAATGGGCTAACTAGTTATGTATATCCACCTAGGGCACAACAGAGGCTCAGAGGGTGGATGTCCATAAAGCTCTAGCTAACAAGCCAGCTTTTTAAAAATAGCAGGAGCAGAATAGCAGGAACCCTCACTCCAACCAATCTTACTATTCTGTGCATGTGTGTATATAGTGCTAAATATGAGCCTTGAACATGCTAAGCAAATATTCTACCAGTGGGCTACATCCACACCATGACCACTTTTTTCTCTCTGATCCCCATTGGGAAGCATCCTGATCTAGAGTATACTCCAAAGATAAATCAGCCCAAAGCAGTTACACATCCCAGATACTGCACCTGTTCCTGGATCTGCAAGAGTTAACATGATGAGTATGTAAGAATCGTTTTTAGAGGGCACTGGTAGCACATGCCTTTAATACCAGCACTTGGGAGGCTGTAAGTTCCAAGCCAGTCTGGTCTACAAAGTGAGTTCCAGGGCAGGCTCCAAAGCTACACAGAAAACACCTGTCTCGATAAACAAACAAAAAAACTTAAAAAACTATGAAAAGGCCAGGCAGTGGTAGCGCATGCCTTTAGCCCAGCACTGGGGAGGCAGAGGCCAGCCTGGTCTACAAAGCTACACAGAGAAACCCTGTCTCGAAAAAATCCAAAGAAGAAGGGGAAAAAAAAAAAGAGGAATTGTTTTTCATTTTCCCTTCTCTCCTCTCTTCCTCTCTCTCTCCCTCCCTCTCCATGGTCTCTCTACACAGCCCTGACTGTCCTGCAACTCACTATTTAGAACCAGACTGGCTTCCAACTCACAGAGATCCACTTGCCTCTGCCTCCCCAGTGCTAATGTGCACCACCAAACCCCCCCACACTATTTTTTTTCTTTTAGATTTGTTTATTTTTACTTTAAGTGTGGGTGTTTTACCTGTATGTATGCCTGTGCACTCACTATATGTACAACACCCCCGCCTAGCTGCAACAAGTACTCTTAACCACTGAGCCTTCCTTTCAGCTCAGCACCTAAGAATTTTAATCAACTCATTCCAGTACCCTGGGGAAAGGTATGAGTAAGTCCATCCTAAAAAAATTACTAAGGCTCAAGGTCACTCAGCTGAACCAGCCAGACTCAGCTTCCAAAGCAGTCTGCTAGTTTCCACTATCTTACACTCAGTCCCACATCAAAGTCAAACCCAGCCTAGTACAAGGGAGGAGTAAAGTCAATGACAAATTAACCATCAAATAAAAGGGGAAACCCAAGCTATGACTGGCACACAGGCCACCTGTAAGAGGGTGGCGTCCTGCACATGGGTCACAGTCACAAACCAAGCGCTGAAGTGCATACAATCCTTTTACCCTTCTCATTTACAGTCTGACTCAGCAACAAAATATTGCTAGCAGCCAGACAGTGGTGGCACACACCTTTTATCCCCAGCACTCAGGAGTCAAAGGTAGTTGGATCTCTGAGTTCAAGGCCATTCTGGTCTATAGAGTGAATTTCAGGATAGCCAAAGCTACACAGAGAAACCCTGTCTTGAACTCCCCCAAAAATTATTTCGTTGTTACTTCACAACTGCAATTTTGCCACTGTTATGAATTGTAATGTGCCCGGGCATTGTTGTCGCATGTCTTTAATCCCAGCACTCGGGAGGCAGAGGCCAGCCTGGTCTCCAGAGTGAGTGCCAGGATAGGCTCCAAAGCTACACAGAGAAACCCTGTCTCAAAAACCAAAAAAAGTAAGAAATGAATTGTAATGTGCATATCTGATAGCTAAGCCCGGAGGGTCATGACCTGCATGTTGAGAACCACCCTGGTATGCTCTGGTATGGCCTTTTCTCTGTGAAATGGGGAGGTGTGCATGAACCACCACTGCCCATCGCAACGAAATAATCTTATGGTGGGGGTTGCCACAACACAAGGGACTATATTAAAGGGTTTGGGCATTAAGAAGGTTGAGAACCACTCCTGTAAACAAACCCAAGAATCTATAAGCCAGTTATGGTGGTAAATGCCATTAATCCCAGCACTGGGGAGGCAGCGACAAGAGGAACTCTAAGTTCAAGGCCAGCCTGGTCTACAGAGAGAGTTCCAGGGCAGCCAGTCCTGTATGTATTGAGATCTTGTCTCAAATAAACAAAAAAACAAAAAGAATCTCTAGAGCGCTCCCTCTGAGACTGTAACTGATACTCTCCAAACTGGAATAAGGAAAAAAAAAAAAAAAAACAATTACAGTGAGACTGAACCCTGTGGGGATAAAGAACAGCACCCCGATGATAATATTACTTGCCAAACCACTTCCTGTCTGATCAAATCTACAGCTCTGTGGAACTCAGAGTAGATACCTGAACCATCAGATCAGTACCCAGTAATCCTTAGTGTACCCAACACAGCCTTCGGCATACAGACATGCTTTTAACTCTTCCCCATCCTCCTAGGAGAAATTAAAGGGTTTAGGAGGAGTTACACAGTCCCGGCTCCAATCTGATCCTTAACAAGAACGAGATGAGTGATCCAACCATTTTACAATCCTTGAACCCCAATTATTCCCATCTCTGAAGTGAAGAGTAGTAATGATAGTTTGCCTTTCGAGGATGGTTTAAGCAATGGTAAAAGCCGATACAGCGGGAGTGCCCTACACATCCCTGGAGTTGTCGCTCCACCCTGTAGGGGAGATCCAGGTCCTCAGTGGGGCGGTGCCGCCGCCCCGTGTCGGGTCTCTTTCTGGAAGGGCTCCACGGCCCCGCCCCCAGTCTCCAGCTCCTCCCGGGGCAAGCAAGGCCCCAGGGGCAAAGGAGGGGTCGCTGGAGCTGGGGCTGGTGAGCGCTTACGAGGAGCGAGCGATGTTTGGCCAGGTCTACTCCAAGGGGCTGGAGAAATGGGCTCCCGGTGAGGCCCTGTACTGGGCCCAGCGGGCTAGAGGTGGCCCGCAGGAAGCCCGTGAGAGTTGTGAAGGTTTGCAGACACTCGAGAAGTCTGGATCCTGGCGAGTCTGCACCCCGCAGCCCGGGCAGAGCCGCCCGCACCCTGGCCGCATCAGGCTTCTGTAGCCTCGTTACCTTCCTCGCTGAAGGGCGCTGGGAGGCCAAGAAAGCCGCCGGAGGACAAGGCCACCGCCGCCGCCGCAACCCCGCCCTCGCCCGCTTCACGCCCGGCTTCGGCCCGGGCTTCTGCCGTATGAGCGGCCGTCACCCGCACTGCCATCGCGCCCTCCATGTCGCAACGCGCCACAGGAAGATGGCGGATTTACGACCGTGTCGTCATAACAACGAGCCGCACCGGGATCTGCGTGGAGCAAGGCAGGGGGCGGGACCGGGACGAGTTTGACGGACAGACAGAGGGGGCGGGAGCTGCAGGTCGAGGCGTAGAGCTTCATTCAGTAGGGGTGGAGCCTGGCTCTCAGAGCCCAGGAGCCAGACTTTGTGCAGAGCGGAAATGGGTGTGGCTTGCTGTATTTCCGATAGCTGGACGTGGCGGGTTGCTAGCCGTGGACTAAAGGATCTTTCCCTCTCTTTCTTAAATTCTTTCCCTCTCTTTTTTAAAAAATATGTATGGATTTTTTTTGTCGTTGTTGCTGTTTTAGAGACAGGTTGTCTCTGTAGCTTTGGAGCCTGTCCTGGAACTCGCTCTGTAGACCTGGAACCCCACGTGTATGAGTATTTTGTGTGTGTCTGCACCATGTGCGTGCCTGGCGCCAGCGGAGACCGGAAGAGGGGACCAGGGTTGAATTCCCTGCTGATTACTCTAGTCATGAGAAAATAACTCCAGTTTGGTCGGGCATTGGTGGCGCACACTTTTAATCTCAGCACTTGGGAGGCAGAGACAGGTGGATCTCTGTGAGTTCGAGACCAGCCTTGTCTACAGAGCTAGCTGCAGGACAGCCTCCAAAGCAATAAAGAGAAACCCTGTCTCAAAAGAGAAAAAACAGAAAAAGTCACATAAAAATGACCATTTGTGACACTTAGAACACTCATCCCAAAATTTAGTTCCAAAATTGGTTAATTGGTTAGTTGATTGCTTGGTTGGTTTTGCGACAGGGTCTGGCTTTGTAGCTCACAGTGGCCTAAAACTTAGTGCTGGAAATATGCCTGTTTTAGTTCCAGAACATTTCATAAGCAAAACCTGTACTGGGTCTATAGCTCAGTTGGTAGATGGCTCACCTACCATATACAAAGTGCTGGCTCCAATACCTAGCGCTGCATAAGAATGAGCAGAGTGGGGACTGGAGAGATGGCTCAGAGGTTAAGAGCATTGACGGCCCTGAGTTCAATTCCCAGCAACCACATGGAGGCTCACAACCATCAGTTATAAGATCTGGTGCCCTCTTCTGGTGTGCGGATATACATGGAAGCAGAATGTTGTATATAAAATAAATAAATAAATAAAATCTTTAAAAAAAAAAAAAAAGAATGAGCAGAGTGGCTCAGGCCTTTAATTCCAGCATTTGGAGAAAGCAGAGGCAAGAGGATTAGAAGTTCACAAACATTGCTGGCTAACTAGAGAGTTCAAGGCCAGCCTGGGACACATGAGACTGTCTCAACAAATAAATAAAATTACTGGCTGACTGAACTGTATGAACAATGCATTTATATTTCGTTCATCACAGTAGACTTGATTTTTTTTCTTTTTTTGGAGACAGGGTTTCTCTTTGTAGCCCTGGCTATCCTGGAACTCACACTGTAGACCAGGCTGGCCTTGAACTCACAGAGATCTGCTTGCCTCTTTTTGCTATAATGAACAATGTTGCTCTAAACATTCTTTTTTTTTTTTTTTTTTTTTAGGTTTTTCGAGACAGGGTTTCTCTATGTAGCGCTGGCTATCCTGGAACTCACACTGTAGACCAGGCTGGCCTTGAACTCACAGAGATCCCCCTGCCTCTGCCTCCGAAGTGCTGGGATTAAAGCCACCAATATCCGGCTCGCTCTGAACATTCTTCTTTTTTTAATTTTATTTAATTATTATGTATGCAACATTCTGCTTCCCTGTATATCTGCACACCAGAAGAAGGCACCAGATCTCATTACAGATGGTTGTGAGCCACCATGTGGTTGCTGGGAATTGAACTCAGGACCTCTGGTAGAGCAGTCAGTGCTCTTAACTTCTGAGCCATCTTTCCAGCCTGCTCTGAACATTCTTATATAAGTTCCTTTTATATTTTTGTTTTGTTTCCTAGCTCCTTTCATTTTTAGAAGATGATATTTGAGTATTTGAGTAGCTTCATGTAACTATTTTGTTGGATTAATCCTTTTTAGTTAGCAGTCATTGGGCTGGCAAGATACCTGCCCTTGCTACCTGCCACCAAGCCTAAGAACCTGAATTTGATCCTCAGAACCAACAAAAAGGAAATTGGCTTCTGAACTTCACATGCACCCTGAGATACACAGACACCCATACAAATATACAACACTCACTTGCACAAACAGTCACGCACATTCACACACATACACACAAAAATAAAATGTTAAAGTCTTGTTTTGTTTTTGTTTTAAGACACCAATTATCAGAGGGCTCATCAGATAAAAGTACGTCCCTCCTAGGCTGAATACCTATATTCAATCCCTGGGACCCACAAGATGGAAGAAGAGAACCAAAGCCCACAAGTTATACTCTGACCTCTACACATGTCATGGGACTCAGGCCCACACATACATACAAACACACAAATAAGTAAATAAATAAACCTGATTTAAAAAAAAAACTTAAGAAGATCTGGATGTTGGTGGTGCACACCTTTAATCCCAGCACTCAGGAGTCTGAGGCAGGTGGACCTCTGTGAGTTCAAGACCAGCCTGGTCTACAAGAGCTAGTTCCAGGACAGCCTCCAAAGCCACAGAGAAACCCTGTCTCAAAAAACAAAAACAAAACAAAACAAAAAGTGGATTGTTGAATCTACTTTTAAACAACCACCAGTCTCAAATATTTTACATTGGTATGGATATTTTTTTGTATATTGATGCAAATTTAAGGTAATTTTGTTACACTGTATGTATTTGTTTCTATTCTTGTTTAAGGTATTGTACCTATGCAGCTCATTTAAATGGTTATGTAAAGTTATATTCTATGAAAGTAATTTAGAATAATAAATACAGGTTAACAGTCATTTATAACTATCAAACTTATAGTCATGTTAGGTATGTTTCAAGGTCAGACAGAGATATATTTTAGATAAATAGGTGCTCTTCAAACACTTCAAAGAACTACATATGGCATTTAAAATGTTTTAATAACATAACTCTTTTCATGACAGTGAGATAACAATTTACTTCAAAAAATGATGATGGGCCTTGAAGAACTTCCATATAGTTTTGCTTTTTTATGGTGAAAGCTAGCTATTTGGGCAAGAAGCTACCCTTGCCTCGACTGCTGACAGTATGCTCTCTAAACTGGACCAGCAGGACATAAAGAAAAGTGACTGCCAAACTTTGCCAAGACAGGTTAAGACAGTCCTCCAAAAATTCCTGCTTCACAGAAAAGTCTGTCATATATTCTAGGCCTACAGGCCGAAGGTGGATGCCCCAACATAACAGGAAATTTGGGTGACAATCCAGGCAGCCAGCTCTTTCTATGGTGTCTTTTAGTTTTGGAAGTGGCTTGTACTGCACTTCCTGTTTACTCAAGTAATATTACATCCTTCTGGGGTGTTAGATGGAGATGAAGACTAGGTAGTTATCGTTGCAGCTTTCTTTGTATTTTATGTATGGGTGCTCTGCATGTATATACCTATATGCCAAAAGAGGGCACCAGATCTCACTATAGATGATTGTGAGCCACCATGTGGTTGCTGGGAATTGAACTCAGAACCTCTGGAAGAGCAGCCAGTGCTCTTAATCACTGAGCCATTTCTCCAGCCCTCAGCTTTCTTTATGATAAAAGGTAAATTAGGTACAGAACTTTGAACTCATCAAGATAGAATAAATACTGGAATATTTTCTTCAAATTCACCAAATACAAATGGACTGGACATTGTAAATATAATTCTTACATGATAGTTGTTCTTATTGTATAGTTTTATTATGTTAGATTTAAAATCTTTTCTCCTCATTTAGACAAAAGGGAAAATGTTGTGGAATATTCTTTATACTGTGTGAAGATATTTCACTGTGGTTAGTTTAATAAAAAGCTAAAGAGCCAATAGCTAGGCAGGATTTGGGGACAGAGAGAACGCTGGGAAGAAGAAGGGGGGAGTGAAGAAGAGAAGCCAGATTGATGCAGAATGAGTCAGACACACAAAATGGGATAGAGATAAAAACCACATGTTAGGATGTAGTTTAATAAAAATATGGGTTGAGCTAATTAGAAACAAGCCTAAGCTATCAGCTGAGCCTTTATAATTAATAAGAAGTCTATGTGTGGTTATTTGGGAGCTGGCTGGTGGGACAGAGAAAGTCATTGATAGAGATTGTTCAATGGATAATAGCACTGGTCATTCTTCCTGAGGACAGGGCTTTGAATCACAGAACTCACAAGATATCAAACAACCGTCTGTAACTCAATTTCATGGGATCTGCTGGGATCTTGTGGCCTCCCCAGGCACCACACATACATGATACAGAGACATACACGCAATAAATAAATAAATAAACCACTCATATACATAAAATAAAAAATAAAAATAATTTAATATGTAGACCAGGCTGGCCTCAAATTCCCAAGAGATTCACATCTCTACTTCTGAGTGCTGGGATTAAAGGCCTATGCCACCACTGCCTCACTGCAAGTCTTCTTACCCACTAAGCCATCTCTACAGGCTCACCATCTTTATTTTGAAGATGAAAAACCTAAAGTTTTATACAGTCAGGATATCTGTACCAGGGCTGCTCTCAGAACTAATCCAGGCTGAGAACTCAGAGGACTTTGCTAGCTTAGTGATCCCCAGCAACCAGCAGGATGCAGGCCATGAGATCCTGGGTAGATCAGACCCAGTCTCCAGGAAAGACGACACAGACACAGTACCAGGAAGAGCAGTAGGCTCCTCATCAGGAAGCAGGAAACTTTATCCTTTGAAGGGCACTGAGCAAGGCTGTTTCCATGTTGTAATGTCAATTTGGGAGACTGATACCTGGGACCTTTGTCTTGGTACAAGCTGGGATGTATAAGACACAGCTAAGGTGGGGCTGGAAACATGGCTCAGAGCACTGGCTGCTCTTCCAGAGGTCCTGATTTCAAGTCCCAGCAACCGCATGAGGGCTCAAAACCATCTACAATGAGATCTGGTGCCCTCTTCTGTTGTGCAGGCAGGAACACTGTATTCATAGGGGAGAGAGAGAGAGAGAGAGAGAGAGAGAGAGAGAGAGAGAGAGAGAGAGAGAGAGAGAGAGAGAAAGAGCGCAAG